AGCTCCGTTTTTTGCTCAAAAACTCGATTACCCTCCAAAAGACCCGAAATTAGGTTAAAAACCAATTTTCCCGGCGACACGGCCGTGTGGAAATCCCAGTTGCTCGTGTGGAGGTGAAAATGTTGCGTTTTACTTAAGTGGTCTCATGCACGTCACACGGCCAGAACTGCACGGCCGTGTGAAATCTCGGCCTGCCCGTGTGACATCTTTGTGATTTTCCACACGGCCCAAGGCACCCGGTACACGGCCAGTGTGGTTTTGCCCGCGCAATGGAATTCCACACGGCCAAGCCACACGGCCGTGTGGCTGCTAGGTCTGGTCGTGTGGTATCCTCAGCTTCTCGCCAAACGTCCAATATTCATCCAATCGACCCCGAACTCGTTCCCAAACCTCCATTCATGTACTAGGACCTGAAATATCACAAACAAGAACAACCTAGCGTGAAATCGGCCTTAGATACGAGAAATGACGCTCAAACAGTACAAGAGTGGTGGACAAAAATGTGTATATATCAAGTCATCAATTGTGCATGCTTGTGCTTAGCAATCTAAGGGTTGTGCATGTTTTGTGCTTAGCATCCTTAGGTTTGTGTATTTTTGTGCTTAGCAATCTAATTAGCCACTTTAGCCTAGGTTAATTTAGGGCAAACCTCATTGTTGAATTAAGCAAATTGGTTAAGCGTGATTAAGCCGTCCAACCTTGAGTTGAGTGAGGGAGTAAGTCACCACTGATTTCCTAAACCGAGAGGGCCGAGTGACACGGCCTATAATGTTTACCTCGATTTAGCAATCGAGATTGTGGTCTACAACCATATTTGCATCCTTTTGCGGTTCGCGGTTACCAGTTTGCATCTAGGTTGGTTGTGATTAAGCCGCTCAAACTCCTGTTTGAGGGAGAGACCTAGGCAACCGCTAGAGACTGAGTGAGAGGATCGATCCCGTGACAAATCGATCTCTATCTAATCCATCCCGTGACAAATGGATCACTAGTTGCTCCTCCTAGCGGTTCCCCAAGGCAATCGTTCCAATCCACATAGTATGGTAGCGATTAGGGGGAAGCGAAACCCGAGTGACTTTCCCACAAAAGAGTTTTCAAACCCAATCACCTTTGGTTTCTTTTATTTCAATTAGCAAACCTTTTAAACCAAAGTTTAGTTGCTAGATAATGATTTCAACAACAGAAGTTGGGATAGACGGACTGGCCCATGTCGATATCTAAATACTTGCCCTATACTGCACCCGATTAGAGTTTAAAAACTTGGGCTCTAATTGGGGTTTTATTGTGGTGTCCAAACTTGCAATTTAGCCGATAAAAAAAATTAATTCAACATGTATATGACGTGGCGTCCGTGTGGTTTTGCTAGTTTTGATGGCCATGTGTTGTGGCAGCTAGATCAGCTTAACTGATGGAGTCATTAACTCTGTTTAAGTAAATGATTAAAATTGATAAATTAGTCAAACAATTTTGAAAATTGTAGTTATATCTGTATATTTTTCAAAAAGTGGTTATCGTTGTAAAAAAGTGGATAGTTATGGCTAGGGTTGTCATTTGAGCCGAGTCGAATCAAGCTTTGTCTTGTTCAGGTTTGGTTTGTTTATAAACGAGGTGAACTCGAGCTCGGCTCGTTTATGAATGAGCTTAGTCGAGCCGAACACGAGCCAACTCATTTATTGAATCTTGACTCATCATTAAGATCAAATATTTGGTTCATGCTCAACTCTAAGATAATTTATGAATTAAATATCCTAATATTTATATGTCATATACGATACATGTGATTAATTGATCTTCATGTCATACACGAGACATATTTCCTCACATACTTAAACTATTAACCAAGTTGGCTCGCTAGTTCCAATGTTGAGACATCTCATGAGCTCAAAATGAGATAGTTCATGAGTCGAACTCAACAAGCCACCTAATCGAGCTAGTTAACGAGCCTCACAAGCCAAACAAGGTTAAGCTCAAGCTTGACTCGTTAATAAACAAATCAAGCTTTTATCGAGTTTGAAACCGAGTCGTTCGTGAATAGCTTGGTTCATTAACAACCCTAGTTATTGCTATCCAGGTGAATTTTGTCTTATGTTCCCTTTATTGAGCCAACCACTTAGGCAAGGAATCCCCCCCCTATTTTTCTCTCTCACATTCTCGATATACGTTTTACTGTTTACCAATAAACACTTTTTTATTGGTTCATTACACTTAATACTTTGTAGAGTGACTTACAAGTCACCATAATTTGGAGAAAACGAGACAAATAGAAAGAGAGAGGGAGGAAGCATGCTCGGATTAGTGAGGCAGAACACGGGAAGGGGATATGAGACCACCGCTAAAATGGGAGCGATCCGGAGAAGGACGGTGAGAAAAAAAATTGAAGGACGTCCACGTTGTGGGGTCAAGCGACACCTTGTCCAAGAGCTGCGATGGGCATGTAAAATGGTGATGATGGTTTATACGTTGAAGTGGGGAGAACGCAATGAAAAACATCTCTTGTCACGTTAGGTGAAAGAACTCCTAAGACCAGTTCATTTACGTCATTTTATGACCATTTACGGCATTTTGTGTTTATTCACGTAATACTATGATGATTTACGTAAAAGTGTAAGTTTTTCACGTAAATGAAAATTCATACTTTTTTCCCCTAATAATTTGTATTGGCTATATTTTGTGGAATTAAATTTGGATTATCATTTAATCTGTATAAATATGTTGCATTGAGCATAATCTACAATGACACCCATTTTGATATATTCCAAAGTTTAAAATTTTATTTTACAACGGCGTGAATAATTAACAATATGCGTGAATAAACATGAGGTGGCGTGACCTAACAGTATTGGTTACGTGAATAATCAACACTCTTATGTGAATAATGCAAATATGACGTGAATGACACAAGTATGGTATGAATAACACAATAATGGCGTTTTTAACCCAAAATTAGGTGTTTTGTCACCTATCATGACAAGAGACTTCCACTCGAAGGCAATATGGGACAACTGGTTCAATTTTGGCATTACTTTGGCAGTGGGTAGTTATAGGTGGTGGTACTCTCTCGTTACCAACCTTAGGAGTCAAGATAAGAGCATGAGGGAGAAGACAAGCATTGCTTCTTGGCGGGTGTGTATACACATATATTTGGCTCACAGTGAGGGAAGACAAGCTTTCATGCAAGGAAGGCTCTCGGCAACAAGGTGTTACGATGCTAAACCAAAATCAAACGCATAGTAAATGACATAAAGATTTAACGTGGTATCCCTGTAATGTCAATACTAATTCACGGGAGAGTTAGACTCTCCAAATTGAAAATCGTACTATGTTTCTTGAGGTTCTCGAACAAGTACAGAAACTATTTATATGTCCTATACAACCATAACCAGCACACATCTATACAGTGGCGTAGCCATGATTTTGGGTAAGGGGGTTCCAACTTAAAAAAATTGAAATGACTATCAATTTTTTTAGTGACCCACGACGGGTTCTCATTTTTTGAAAAGTCTGAAAAATATATTCATCATCCAGATTATCAAGAATGTCAATCTCAATATATCCTATCAAAATGTTATTCATGATATCATCACTCATTAGACTCCGAAGAGTGTTCTTCACGTAGTTTATTGTCGAAAATACTCTTTCAACACTAGCAGTGGCGACTGGTAGCAGCAATGCTTATAATAAGGGGGTTCAATGTTTAAAACTGAGCTATAGCATAACTTTATACCCCTATTTTTTATGTCCTAGTCCAAATCCAAGGGTGTGCCATTGCACCCCTAATTACATGTTATCTCCGCCACTACATCTATATTGCATGGGTTTGCATGGGCTTGGGCCAATCGAACTCCTAATTACATCACCATAAATTGACTCAAGAAATCACACAACCAATCCGCTAACAGCTTCGCCCAAATTAATGTCTGAAATGGAGCATCAATTTGCTCGAGAGGTACCAATGTCGGCTGCTAGTGAATGGTTTAGTGAATATGTCCGCAACTTGATCTTCTGTATGAACATACCAACATCTTGTGTGCTCTTAAGATACCGGAGATACGGTGGGCGGCTGCAAGATACTGGGAGCCACCATAAAATGACTGACAATCTGTACAGTAAAGGAAATATCCGGGCAAGTCGCAGCTAAGTAGATGAGACTGCCCACGAGATTGCGGTAGACGAGTCCATCAGGAAGAAGTTCCCCAGACTCACAATCCAATTTCAAATTAAGCTCCATAGGTGTACTAACTAGATGACAGTCCTCAAACTGTCGATCACTTAACAAATCACCAATATACTTGCGCTGACTGATAAGAATACCATGAGTATCCCGTGTGATCTCCAACCCCAAGAAGTAGGACAAGTTGCCTAAATCCTTTGACCGAAAAGTAGACTGAAGCCTAGCCTTAAGTGACGCAATGCCTATAGCATCATCACCGGTGATGACCATGTCATCAACGTACAGCAGAAGCACCACAATCCCGGATGAGAAAGACCTGACAAACAAAGACCAGTCATTTAAACTTTACCGCATACCCAGCTGCATAATAGTGGACTGAAATTTCTCAAATCAAGCTCGGGGAGCTTGTTTGAGTCCATAGAGCGACCGATGAAGAAGAAACACTTGTCCCAAAGACCTGACATTATACCCCAGATGTTTCTCGAGATACACAACCTCCTTCAAGTCCTCGTGTAAAAACATGCTCTTGACGTCGAGCTAAAAAAGGGGCCACTGGCGCAGAGAGGCGACAACTAATAGCGTACGCACCGTTTCCATCTTTGCAACGAGAGAAAACTTCTTTTCCAAATCAATACCCTGCTCTTGAGAGAACCCCTGTGCAACAATTCAAGCTTTATGACATTCAATAGAGCCTTCCGGAGTCATCTTAATACTGTACATCCATCTAGAACCAATCACCGGGACTTCGGGAGGAGGTCAATCCACAACGGTCCATGTTTTGTTGGCATGAACAGCATCAATCTCAGTATGCATTGCCTGATCCCACACCGGATTACCCTGGGCTTGCTTGAATCGGGTATGCATTGAAATGAGATGGAGGTTGACCTTTTGTGGCGCGGAGAGATCGACGGAGCGCCAAGAGAGCATCCGACGGAGGAGATGGCGGTGGAGATGCACTTGAGCTCGAAGAAGATCCCGAAGAGTGGTGGTGATCAGAAGCGGACGACGAAGAGGCTGAACTAGCGAAAGATGAGTCTGTGGATGACGTGTCGGTGGTGTGATCAGGAGAGGGAGGCAGATTTGGTGGCAGAGAAGGGGGATCAGCAGGAGGCAATATTAAGTCTCCAATATCATCATCATCATTAAACATGGGCAAATGGGCGGACACAGGAAGGAAAGATGGGACTGGCTCATCTAAGGAAAAGAACTTAAATTGTTCAGAGAACACTACCGTGACCGCAATACGAACTCAAGCAAGAATGGGGTCATTGAAAATGTAACCTTCATGAATACTAGTTTTTTGACCCGCACTTCGTAGCGATAAAATAATTAGGGAAGAATTATGCTATACATTTGTTTAATTGAAAACATAAGAAATAACCATCCCCATGTAATATATTTGTAATTTCTAACTGTTAATCTTTCGCTATGTGTGGTATAATAATAAAATCAAATTTATAGAAGTATTACATTTGATTATATTGCTATATAAAAGTTAACCGAACTTACGAAATATCTACGTAAGGAAAATTGATGACATAGTGGATGTTTTAGTTAACGATAAAGGGAATAACTTACCATAGGGAACCTTTGTATAATACAAATTTATGAGTTAGTCAACCGCTTAATTGATAGTAAATGAAATTTTCACATTTATATTATGGAGGACGAATGTTAGTAAGAATAACTTACCTTAGAGAACCTTTGTATAATACAAATTTATGAGTTAGTCAACCACTTAATTGATAGTAAATGAAATTTTCACATTTATATTATGGAGGATGAATATAATTCTTTTTTTAATTGATACATAATAAATAATTATCCCCAGTAGAAATAACTATACCTCTATTAATTTTTACATCATGCATTGATAACTTAAGATAGAATAACGGTACATAAATCCTTTGCAATTTTCGTCTAGTAATAAAATTAAGTTATGAAAAGCCTCATTGGTTGCTATTATGTAAAGTTAACTAATATATGGAACCTTTGTGTAGTAAAAATTGATGTGATTGTGAAATTTATATAGTGTTACATAAATCTTTCATAATGTGTGGTATAATAATAAAATAATAATAATAATAAAATACAGTTAGGAAGCAATAAAAAAAGCTAGAACAATGTTACATAAATCCTTTGCAATTTTGGTCTAATAATAACATCAAGTTATGAAAAGCGTCATTGGTTACTATTATGTAAAGTTGACTAATATACGGAACATTTGTGTAGTAAAAATTGATGAGATTGTAAAATTTATAATAGTGCTACTTAAATTTTTTATATTGTGTGATCTAATAATAAAATAATTCCAATCAAATCAAGGAAGCAATAACAAAAAGCTTACGGTTAAAAAAAAACTTACAATACAATTTGATGTATGGGATAGCTCCCCGGGTGAACAGTAACTCCGGAGCAAAAATTAATTGCTGCCCTACTTTTTCGTATGCAACAGTGTAGGTTGCTTGAGCTTTTAATTAATTGTAATTCAAATCAAATCAAGGAAGCAATAACAAAAAGCTTACGGTTAAAAAAAACTTACAATACAATTTGATGTATGGGATAGCTCCCCGGGTGAACAGTAACTCCAGAGCAAAAATTAATTGCTGCCCTACTTTTTCGTATGCAACAGTGTAGGTTGCTTGAGCTTTTAATTAATTGATCGTTATATCCTAAAAAGGCACACCGGGCGGTCTTGGTAGTAAGTTTAGTTCGTTCCTTCTTAGGCATGAGTACAAAACACAAGCACCCAAAAACTCGAAGTCAAGAGTAATCTGGATGACGATCATATTAGGCAAAGAATGGGCTAAGATGATTAAGGACTGTAGTTATTTGGTAATTGATCAAACGAACCGTTGTGGTGACAGCTTCGGGCCAAAATCTAGACGGGACATGAGACTCGAGAAGAAGTGCCCGAGTTAGATCAAGGATAGGTCGATTTTTACATTCCACTAGACCAGTCTGCTGAGACACTCCTAGGCAAGGTTGTTGATACAAAGTACCTAGGGATCGATAGAGAGAAAGTAAAGGGTCGAAACTAGACTCTCCTTCTAGGTCGGAACGAACAATTTAACTGGGCGACTAAACTTAGTTTGAACCATTCGAAGGAACTCCTCTGCTATGACACGCTAATCAGATTTCAAACGTAAGAAGTAGACCCATGTAAACCGAGTGGTATGATCGACAAACAAAGCAAAATATCGATTGACATGACATGAAAGAGCAGGAGAAGGCCCCCACAGATCCGTACGCACAATATGGAAAGGATCAGTGATCACAGTAGTGCTAGAATGAAAGGAAATACTAATGGTTTTCGCCTCTACGCAACTAGTGCAATTATGTTTTGACAAAGCATCAACACCATGTTTTCCTAACAAAGACTAATGAAACATTTGCAAAGGATGACCAGAATTCGGATGTCCGAGACGTGAGTGCCATAAATCGCATACGCTGTTCGACTTATTAGAAGGCAAAAGACTAGAACAAGGAAGAGAGGATAAAACCGATGGACTACGGACAAGCCTACAATGAGGGGCGGGACTAGGATGAACGGAACTGTGCAATGATGATATGTTCGATCAAGCTCCTATAAGTGAAAAAGACGCCCCTTCTTACTCCCCCTTCCGATCTGCCTCCCCGTCTTCATGTCCTGCACAACACATCCAGATGGTGCAAACGTAACCGAGCAACCATTATCAGTAAGGTGACCAACCGATATTAAATTAGGGACAAATCTAGGAACATGTAATGTGTCTGATAATTCCAACTAGGCTGTTGACCACAACCAACACCCCTCACTTCCAACCGACCACCATTAGCTACCCTCAAGGCCATATTATGAACATGTTTAAGATTTCTAACCAAATGAGAATTGTTCTTCATATGGTTAAAACATGTCGAATCAAGAAGCCAAGGAACTTAACTTTTACATGTCACCTAAAGCGTTGCAAACGCGGTGCTAATGGCATTCGAAAGTGATTGCTGCAATGCGGCATTCACCAACTTCTCAATATCAGCCGCCGAGATCCCCTGCCCATGACCATCTGTCGTAGGCTGTGTGACATAAGCAACTCGTTCTGGTGCCACGCGATCAGGAAGAGCAGCTTCAGCCAGTTTACCATGATGCTTCACAAATAATCGGCAATCCATAATTATATGCCCGCCTTTCTTACAATAAACACAAAAGTTTTTGCGATGACAGTATTTTTGGAGGTGGCCCTTCTCATGGAAGTGATGACATTGCATCTCGGTCATTGGAATGCGGCATTGAAATTGGGGTTTTCCCACCGCATATGCTGATTCAGCACCAGCTGCCGCAACAATCGCAACTTCTCCATCTCCCGGCCGAAGGTCAAGTCGAGCTTGAGTGCGTAATCTGGTTTCCTCTCGCACCAGGTCACCAAGAATTCCATCCATGGTCAACGTCCCGCGATGAATGATGCTGGATCGGATAGATTCGAACTCCTGTCGCAAATGCATCAGGAAATGAAGGATGCGAGCAGGCTCTCGTTCAGCAATCATAATGGCAGAAGTAGCAGCTGGGCGCAGGTGAGTAGTGAGCATATCTTACTCCGTCCACAGATCATGTATACTATTCTAAATGGGACATGATAAACCTTCACAATATGCTTTATGATTAGGGAATCAAAGCATCATAGGTGAGCGTACTAAGTTGAGAATTTTTAATATAGATATATCGAATACTCACTTATGTAGTGTGAGCATAAAAATTAAAAAATTAAAAAATATATATATATTAATTAATTTAAATAATAAAATAAAATTCTTCGACCAACCAGCCGGGTAAAAATTAACTAGGTATGAGACAGATATGCATGTATGGAAAGAAACCCGCAAAGCGTTTGATGGGTATGGTGTGGGTATGATTTTAGCCTCTCCCACCCTATACTCATACACATACCCATATCCGCTGACACCCGATAAAAAAACACATTGGTCAAATTATAACATATCAATGATAGTGAGCGTACGTACCTTAATTCATGTGTATTTATATATGTTTTACCCCTCCATATCTTAATTGTATGACTTAGTAATCGTTGTTTCTCAACCTATTTTACGCTATATTGCGCTACTTTTGTCACATTTCAGGGTCTAGTTTCCATTAAAGGCGTTGTTGGTAACAACCTTACCAACTAACCTCTTTTACAAGCAGAGGCTCAACAGTTCAACAACTATAAACAAACGAAAGAATTAACTAAAAATGAAAAACCTACAACCCAGGGGACAACCTCTTTAGCTAGAAGGTGGTCAGAATCGCTCCTGGTCCTCCTTTTGTACCAGAAGAGAGACTTCACTCTTTATCACTTTAACTAGAGTGGAAACCTCCTTTGAACCACTCCCATATAGTTTGGTGCATCGTTCATGCCATATACATGACTTACCATAGACTGCCATATTAGTCGGTTTTTTACTTTTTTATGGCCGGAATGATTATAATTCTAGGGGTAAATATATTTGTGTGGCCCGAACTTTTAACATATTAAATATCATGATCAATCTTTTTGATTTAAAACATCATGGACTCAACTATGCATCAAAGTTACGAAATTGTCCAAACCCAAGAGTTGACCGTTATGTGGAGGGTCAAGACCGTTGACTAACGATCAACCCGCCATGTCATTGCCCAGTTACCCAGTATCGATGACGTAGATGCCACATGGTATAAAGAAAATAATAAAATATAAAAAAATTAAAATAAAATATAAAACAAGCAAATAAAAATCCCCAATTCTTTCCACTTCGCCGGCGCCACCATTGAAAGCTTTCTTTCCCACTTCGTCGTCGCCACCGCTGGAACCCTTCATCTACGGAGCTCTTCCATTGAGGCTCAATCAAAAGAAACCGCTTGGAGTTGATGACGATTAGCGGCTAGAAAACCCATTCCATAAGGAAAATCGAGCTCCAATGGTCCATTTATTCGGGGATATGAAATTGGCGGCGAAAATCTAGAATCAATCTACTGCTAAGGTGGTGATGGATGAATGGACTAGATACTATAACAACACTCATTTTGTTGTTATTGTAACAACACTAGTCTCCAACCAATAAGAAGCTAGGATTGTGATGACTTTTTATTAGTTGAGTTGACCTAGTGTAAAATCAAGGCAGGGGTATAATTGTCATTATGGAAAAATAAAAATATGAAAAATATAAAAAAATAAAAAAATATTTTTTATTTTCTGCCCAAAAATTTGGTCGCCGGAATTCGGCCACCGGTCGTCGAAATCTGGTCGCCGATCACCGGAATATGCTTTTCGTCGCAGGAATATGCTTACCGACGTCGGAATATGCTTACCGGCGTTGGAATCTAGTCATCAGGGCCGGAATATGCCTATCGGCGTCGGAATCTGCTCACTGACGGCGTCGGAATATGACTTTTTATGGTTTGGTTTCTCGCATTTTTGTATGCCTTTTGTGGTTTGCTTTATCGCGTTTGTGGTTTGCATTGAGAAGTTTCTGGTTTGCTTTCAAAAAATTTGTGTTTTGCATTGAGGGGTTTGTGGTTTGTTTTAGGAGATTTGTGGTATGCATTAGGAAGTTTATGGGTTGCTTTTTTGTGGTTTGATTTACTGTGTTTGTGGTTTGCATTAGGAGGTTTCTGGTGTGCTTTCGCAAATGTTGTGGTTTGCTTTGTGAGGTTTGTGATTTCTTTTAGGAGATTTGTGGTATGCATTAGGAGGTTTCTGGTTTGCATTAAGAAGTTTCTGGTGTGCTTTCGAAACTTTTGTGGTTTGGTTTGTGAGGTTTCTGGTTTGTTTTAATATATTTGTGGTCTGCATTAGGACGTGTTTGGTTTGCTTTACCGTGTTTGTCGTTTGTATTAGGGAGTTTCTGATGTGCTTTAGAAATATTTCTGGTTTGTTTTACCGTGATACTAGCAATTACTGGATTTTTAGATGAGCCATACTAGCAATTTATAAGAAAAAATCGTAGGGCTTACTACATCTAAAGTAAATGTGCATTGCCAAAAAAAATCATTTCAATACCTTTAGCGCTTAAAAACCCTAAAATTGAGTACCAGAAGGTCAGTCAACTAATTTCTGAAGCCCATTTACAGAAGCATGATAGCAACCGAGATACAAACAACAACAATATTCTCTAAGCTACGGAATCATGCGAATTGAGACACAGCAGCGTAGTCCTTGCTGTCCGCGTTCTTGAAGAACGATCATTTCAAATTACGAGCGCTCTCGTACAGTTTCTCGATGCAGCCTGGCAATATTGTGGTCGTCGTCTGCGTACTTGAGGGACCAGTTTCTTTATTATGATCATCTATTGCGATCCTGGCGATGGCACCAACTGGCATTGCCAGGAAATTGAACAGGAAATCCACAAATTCTTTCCCTGCTTCAGCACACAAGACCCTCTTTTCGTTTTTATCGATTATCAACTTCACGCTGAAGCTAGCATATGTAGCCGCTGCCATCGAACCAGCGAATCGACAGGTAACCAGGTGAAAATTTCGTCGATGAGTTCTGCAGGGAGGATGGGCAAAGGCGGCGGCGGCTGCTGGTCAACCTTCCGCCGGATGGGATTCGACGGCAGTGACTCCATTTTATTGCAGTTTCTTCCATAAAAAAGAAATCGGTGGAGGAGAGCGCACAGGAGGAGAAGTCGTCGACTTCGGAGGAGAGCGTACGGAGGAGAGATTCTGATGGCGGCATCCTGATAGTAGTGGCAGAGATTCTGCCATTTCGCGTCGCCGGCGGCGGGTCTAGCAGCAGTGGTCTAGCAATGTGTTGTTCCCTATACTCTTGTCCTATATTCTTTTGGTGACGACAAAACTCTAGGTCGTCCCCATTACTAGGGACGACAGTCGTCTCTGATACTGGCAAGTCGACATGTCATTTCTTTTCCATCAAAGATAGCATTTCGTCTCTATAGCTAAAACTTTAGGGACAATAAGTCGTCCCCTAAACATCATTTTCAGGGACGAACTGTTGTACCTCATTTTCGATTTCATTGTTACATTGCCTATCTGGGGATAATTTATCGTCCTCTTTTCTTTTTATAGGATCGACATGTCTTTCCTATATGTATCATATTTGAGTCAACAAATTGTGCCCAAAAGTTATAATATTTGAGGACAAGAACGAGTCTCTTGTACTATATTTTTGGAGACAACAAGTTGCCTTTCTAAGTCACCTTTAGGAACGACTAGTGGTCTCTAAACTTGTGTATTTGGATATACAAATTTAGGAACTTGTAGGGACGATTAGGTGTCCTTTAACTATGACACGAGGATGACTAGTATTAGGGGGAAAAATTAATTTAAAAGTCGAGGCAGTATCTCAATTGTTATCTCATCTGTAAACTCAATAGAATACAATATAGGCAATGCATACAGACTATGAGAAAAAGCCAATTTTGTTGAGAAAGATGACAAATCGAAATTATGGGCACTACTCTTGCTAGACCTCCGATACAAACCGCCATTAATTGCCATTGCTTCACTCAGCCCGTGCATTCTTCTCCATCTCCCGTGTCTAATGATCTTCGTCACTGTTGCTAGTCCAGGAGGGGGGAAAAGTATGAGGTTTAAGTTAGTGGCGGATCCAGAAATTCTAAATATGGGTGTTCTCTTTAAAAATTAAATTTAATTATATAATTAAATTAAATAATTATTAAATATGAAAATATATGACTAGTAAAAGTAATGATAAAAGTTCAAACGTATTTCATAAAATACATTCGGTGTCTATACTGCTCAATAAATATCTCTCGACATATCCTACTAGACAAGGGTATCCTGTAATTGGGTATAAACGTTAGCTTTTGAAAATATTTTGTGATAAGAATAACATTTTACTATTATATTTGGATTAAAACACAATAACAAATGAGTTGTGGTGTAATTGAAAATATGTTTACTAATAGTGGTCGTGTCCCAAGTTTAAATCACATGAACTACTACTTAAATATTATTTGTACCAATACACAAACTACTACTGGAAGTTGGATAATCCTTTTTCCCAAATTTTAAGGGTGTCCCACTACCACTTAAACATTTTTTTTTGATACGCAAACTATTATCGGAGGTTGAATAATCGTGTTTCCAAATTTTAAGGGTGTCCTGAGACACCCCTAAATATGCATGTATCCGCCACAGAGCTCAACAAACGACAGATCAAACAAAGTTCAACATATTCACCCACTTGCAAAACAAATATCATAATATAATACCAAAAGCCAAACAAACCTTGTACAAAACAGATTGAACACCATATGGATATGGGTCAGAGTCAGAGCACCAAGAACTTGGAGTGTGACGAAGATACGGAAATAAGAAGCGGTGATAAGTAAATAAGGAGGGGGATTGAGTCGGCACTATCAAAAGAGAAATAAGAAGGAAGAATGAGGAGTTCTATATGCGGTCTGAACTAGAAATATGAATAGAGGTAGGTTACTAGGGTTTGTAAGTTATATTTGAATGGATGGTGCGGATTTGGTTAAAGGAAATTAATGGCTTAGAGGTTGCAATTGGATCGGATTCGTGGATTCGTGGATTGGATTCGTAGATCCATGGATCAAATGGATTGGATCCAATGGATTGGTGGATTCATGGATTGGATCAAATGAATTACTGGATTGATCCATGAATCTAAATGACATCCAAGGGTTGAACCAAAATATAAATTTTGAAAAGTTTTGGTACTAAAATGTCATAATGAAAAAATTTTGGTACCAAAAATGTAATTTTCCAATGATAATTTTGTATAAAAATATAAATTTTAGGTACCAAAATGTAAAATATAAAAAATATAGGTACCAAATTGTAATTTGCCATTTGGATCCATGAATCCACCAATCCAATTGGATTTGGATCAAATGGATTGAATTTAAATGAATTGGATTAGGTGGATAATTTGGTGGATGAATTGGATTGAATTCATGGATTTGGATCCTAATTGCCACCTCTAGATGAGATGAGATGGAAGGTTGTGGAACAGAGGGTAAAAGTTTTTCTCGTCAAGATCATTCAATTTTAGTTTTTCTTCTTTGATTCGTTTTAATTTTTTTTTTTTCTCCCTTGGGTTGTGTTGTGTGCCGTCTTTTCCATATTACCACCAACCAACACTTAAGAGATAAAAAATAATAATAGTCATAGTAATAATCAATCTACACATAATATAATACACCGAAAGGAAAAACGGGAGCCCCATTTCAAATTTCCTGCAATGAGAGTGAAAGTAGGAAGGACATTTTGGTCTTCACAATTACTTTTTTTATTCATTAAAAAGACACGTACTGGGATTCGAATCATGTCCATTTTAAAGAAAAGCATGGAACATAACCAATCACACTAAATACATTTGTTGCATCCTTTTAAATCAAAAACATATAATAGCAGGGAGGAAAAACCCCTTCCCCCATTTCAAATTCCCTGCTCCATGAGCGTTTGTAGGAAGGGTAGAATAGGTAGTGTTAATTTTTTTCTCTTTCCTCTGTGGAACGGGCCAACTTACCGTACACATGCGGATTTAAACGGGTTCAGGAGTGTCAATTTTTTTTCTTTAACCCCTTGTATTTCTCCGTGGTGATAAAATATATATGAAAAGACAAAAGCAATACTTCTTTTTATGCTAAAAATAAAAAAAATTAACAATAAACTAATGCATGGTATCTAAAGGGCTAACCGCTAACCATAAAATAAAAGAGTTGAATGGGCCTGACCTACACCGGATTTGGCCATCAAGTAAAACAAATGAACATCATTGGTTTGACATTCTAAAACAAGCTATTTTCTCTAGCATAATATATATTATTATATTATTTTATATTTTAGTGGCTAAAATATAATGTAGTTTAAAGTTATTCAATGGTTCAATCTCGACCAACCCAATTAGTCCAATTTTTATCATTTCAAATATATATTATATAATTATTTGATATCATAATGATAAAATTATAGTGTATTTTATAGGGAATCGTTTGGTATTTGTTAGTAAAAAACTAAACAGAAAGATCTATTTGGTTATTTTAAACATTAAAACGATCCTAAACATTTTCAGTTTCTTTTGAATTTCTATGGTTTTATTCCCGAATAAGTGATGTGCAAATGGCGAATTGCAGTCATCTATTTTCTTTCACTATTTTTTATTTTCAAATAGAAAGTTTAAAAGTAACGAATAATTAGAATTTTGCATGGGTCGGTCAAACAGGCTGAATTTTAAGTTTTGGCCCGTTTTGATCAAGTCTAATTTATAATCACATGGTTCCCTGATACCCGATAAAAATCTCATTCCAAACCACTTTGGCAGGTGAGTCCGTGTTTACCACCATTCTCTAGGAATACGACAACGGTGGTTCCTTTCCCAAATCGTGTTGTTCGTTCTTGATTTCCTTAGATTTTATCATGGCCTGACAAAAACCAGAAAACACAATGACGACAAGATGAAAGTTTTATAAATCAAGTTAATGGTGTTCTCTTTCTGATCTCATGTAATTATTTAATGAAGTTGAAGTTTTTCGATGCTATTCAATTTCATTGGTATGTTTTTAATGGTCTAACTTCATGGTTGTACCAACTTTTGATGTACTGTTTATGTTCCAATATATTCACTTTGGTATGATTATTAGGGATATGCTAGGCGGTACTCACCATTAGACCAATTTAGCTTAATGGTTGAATCTACGGGTTATCCCAATAATTCAATATTCGGCTCAGCTCCTCCGACCAACGGGTCGGGTTAAAAGCTAGTTATCTACTATAAACACATTTTTAGCATTATTATATTCTATAATAATAATAATGGTCATACTAATAATCATTTATCTCGTATAAACACATTTTTAGTATATGTTAAATTAAACCTATGAATTTGCATATTATTAAAAAAATTGAATTTGCAAGAAAGTCATTTATGATTGGGCTAATGATTATGAAGGACCTATACTTAGCTGAAAATATTACTTGTACCCACACTTTATAGAAACATTAATCGTGGCTCTAATTATTCTACTGACAATAAGAGTTGACGTTTTATTTAATGGTGACCCCTTATACATTATTGGGACCATAAACTGTGTCGTGGTCGGACTCTATTATGAATTTCTGTCCACATTCTTCATGAGATCTTCTTGTTTCTTCTTTCTCCAAGCTCGGGTTATAGAAGAAGGAGAAGAAGGAAGCGAGAAGAAGGTATCAACAACAACATGTTTTATTACGAGATAACACATGATGTTTCTATCGATCTATTATTCACCTCTCCATCTTGTTGAGTTATGTCGTACATGTAAATGGGCTTTGACCCATGGACCTAGATTAAGGTCCGAATGCCCTAGAGGGCTTCGTAGTCTCGGCTAGTGTTACAGGAGAATAGCCGAGTCTTGCATATATGTATGTAACAGTGGCTACGTTGGGGTTAAGGTGAAATAAGAAAGATACAGCTCCTTCCCGTGGACTAGTCTTGTACGATCTTGATC